AGGGAATGGCCAGGCTCCCATGCACCCCATCTCATCTTAGCCCCCACCACTTACACACTAATGAGCACCCCATAGCCACAGAGCTCACAACCAAGAGCTAGTTTCCAGAACTCCTCTTGCCGTTGAGAATGTGCCACCATAACTAATTTGAAGCAGATCCGACCTAGCTACAAACTGCGAGGCACACTTTCCCAGGACCCTCTACACTTCCTGTTTCCTTTTCCTCTTAAAAGAAATGCTCATGCTTATTTGTATACAAACGTTCATCCCCAGCAGAATTCTACCCTAGGTCTTAAAACTGGAAGGACACTCAAAGGCATTGAACTTAGACTCTTGCTTCCACAGGGATAGGTTATTGTCCCCATTTTACATATGATGTCGCTGAGGCTCAGAAAGTCACCTGCCCAAGGTCCTGTAGAATAACTACAGAGCTCAGAGCCACAGCTCCTGCCTCTTAGACTCTCTTTTTCTTGATCACACTTCTCCTGCCATCTGAGATCAGAGCCCCAGAACTGGAGAACAGCCCTTCATTTGCTCCTTTTTTTCCCAGCTCCAGCCCAGGATAGGGTTTTCTCTTACGTGATTTCATCAATATAGTTAATCCAAATGTATCATCTTTTTTTAAAAAAAAAATTCAGCCAACTCCCTCCTGCTGACATACTTCAGCCCTGGAATTAGGACACGCTGCTTTCCTTTGCAAGTATGAGCATGTGAGCACCTGCATGGGGTGATCTGGGAGGACCCGGCCCTCCTATTCCATTTGCTAACATTTAGGTCAGAAGTAGGCAGGGTTTTGAATGTTTCATGAAGTGACTCGTATCCAACAGGCTTGAAAACAAATGCCAAGAAGGACCAGGGCCCACACTGGCAGACCCACTGGGGCTGGAGGACTTGAATTCTAAGAGTGGCCAAGACCTTGATTGTATCCCATTTGTCCTCATTGAGGCTATTTGTTTTATTTTCATGCTGAGAGAAGAAAACAATGGGTCAAAACAATTTCTCTGGTCAGCATGCAGGATCAGGTGTGTCTTAGTTTTTGCTGCTATAACAAAATACCTGAGATCGAGTAATTTATATAGAACAGAAATTTGTTTGCTCAGAGTTCTGGAGGTTGGAAAGTCCAAGATCAAGACACTAGCATCTGACAAGGGCCTTCTTTCTGCATCATGACATAGCAGAAGGCAAAAGGCAAAGGTAAAGAGAGGGCAAGAAGGGGCTGAACTCGCCCTTTCATAGTGTGCCAACCTCACTCAGGTGGAGCCCTCACGGCATAATCACCTTCTAAAGGTTCCACCTCTTACTATTGTTACAGTGGAAATTAAACGTCAACATGAGTTTTAGACTGGACAAATACTCAAACCATAGCCCACTGGGTGGCCCTAATAAGTGTGTCTTCTCCAACCTTTCCAACCCTGGGCCTCTCTGCTCCTCCTCCCCACTGTTAGAACTGCTTAGTACCAATTAGGAGGCTGTGTGGAGTTAGGTGAAGTACCCTGACCTAGCCATACAAGGTCTGCTGTGCATCAGGAAAGAGACTCAACCCTTCTGACTCGCAGTTTCCTCATCTGGAAATACAACATAGGGCACCTTAAGGATTAAATGGAGACAGATGTAAAGACATTATGGTACCCACCAAATATCAGCCCCTTTTCCTCATTCCTGATTATATTAGTACATTTTTTCCACTCAAAGGCATTTGGATTATAATGGGTTGGGGGCAACCTCTATAATAATAATTTTTGAAAAGATGAATCTCAGCCGGGCCCAGTGGCTCAGGCCCTGTAATCCCAGGACTTTGGGAGGCCAAGGCAGGCAGATCACAAGGTAAAGAGATCAAGACCATCCTGGCTAACACGGTGAAATCCCGTCTCTACTAAAAATACAAAAAATTAGCTGGGTGTGGTGGCAGGCACTTGTAGTCCCAGCTACTTGGGAGGCTGAGGCAGCAGAATTACTTGAACCCAGGAGGTGGAGGTTGCAGTGAGTCAAGATCGCGCCACTGCACTCTAGCCTGGGTGACAGAGTGAGACTCCATCTCAAAAAAAAAAAAAAAAAAAAAAATGAATCTCTAATGGAGGTTTAAATAAGTCCAAGAAGAAACAAGGCAATATCGTTGCAGCAGGCGAGGGACCTTCAATGACTACATGCAATGAAAAGACTTGAGAGGCAGAGTCAAGGGTTTAAGTAAGCCACAAGTCATGGGGAAAGCCAGCAGAATTTAAATGGCTTCCTTTGTCTTTTTCCTCACGTGGAAGGATGCTAATGATCACACGGCAACTAGGCGGGTAAGAGTAGCACACAGTTATTGAGCCCCTACTGTGTGCTTTGTCTCTAGACTACTGCCAGTGTCATTTCCCTTCTGTCCTCTTCCATCTGTGGCCTACCCCGTTCCTTTGTCTCCTCCATCCCCTTCTCTCACAATCCTTCCCACCCATACACCACCATTGACCCTCAGCTGCCTTGTCTGAAGAGATGTCATGAGAAAGTCTGCCCCTTGGGGTCAACACAGGACACAGAGAACAACCAAGCTAGCAGGTTAGGATGCCACGATCACCACCCGGGAGACTAGGAGAGACAGACATGAGGCTATTTTGTTTGCTCTTCACCTTCTGCTAAAGGTATTTTCTGAGCATTTTCTGATGATGAAGGAGCCCATCAGGAAGATCCATGGCCTTCCTCGCAGCCCTCCTGAGTTGAATCGATTCTGTTCAGGGAGCCACTTCTTACTTCTTACCTAAGCCCTGTTGTCTGTGCCAACAGTAGGCACATAGTATGGGGAGGTCAGGCTTCCTTCTAGCCTTCCCAGATGTCTTCCCTTCAGCCACTTGCATTTTTCTGTCTTTGGAAGGCTAGTGGGTAGGAAGGAGGAACAAACTCGAGTCCATAACATGTGGTTTCTGAGACCAGGCATGGTGGCTCACGCCTATAATCCCAGCACTGTGGGAGGCCGAGGTGGACGGATCACTTGAGGTCAGGAGCTCAAGACCAGCCTGGCCAACACAGTGAAACCTTGTCTCTACTAAAAATATAAAACTTAGCCGGGTTTGGTGGTGCGTGCCTGTAATTCCAGCTACTGAGGAGGCTGAGGCGGGAGAATCACTTGAACCCAGGAGACAGAGATTGCAGTGAGCCAAGATTGTACCACTTTACTCTAGCCTGGGTGACAGAATGAAAATCCATCTAAAAAAAAAAAAAGTGGTTTCTGGCTCTTAAAATCAATGCCAATAAATGTCAGAAAATTTGTTACTGGCAAGTGAGGTAGTTTGGAAAATAAGCATGGGCACTTTGGCCTTGGGCCTCTGGGCCAGCACTTGTCACTCTGTGCCTGTATCACTGAAGGCTGTCATTGTTGGAGGCCCTATCATTTAACTCCAATGCTGGACAGGAGGCATCAGTGTACATCTTAGGGAACATCAGAGCTCAGGTGGGCACTTAAAGGGGACCATTCCAACTCCCCTATCAAGGGCCATCTGGTTAGACTTGCCCACCTTGGGCAGTGAGTCTTCTACATGAGGAAAATGTCCTTCACTGGGAAAGGTAGCTGAACTGTCATACATGGTCAAGTTCAACTTTCTCTGAATGGGAGTCTGCCCATCTTGCTCATCGTCTTTCACCACCCCCTGCCTCCAAGAGTACCATGCATACATCCACGTACTGCTGGTAGCCTCAGTGCCTCTGTGAAGGCTGGCCTCGATGGTAATGTCATGTTTCCCCCTCTACTTACATACACCTGAGAAACTTTTACCTATTGATTATGATTCAGCTTAGCGACACTGCTTTTAGAAGCTTGAATGTGACCATAAACGAGAATTTGGCAGGCTCCAGAAGCAGGCCGACCTAGGGTTGACTCTGTCCATTCCCAGGTCCCTTTACCTTTATAAACCTCAGTGTCCTCATCTACAAAGTGGGAATAACAACATGGAACTTTCAAGGTTGTTAAAGAGGAAAATGTAAAGTGCCTGGTCTAGTAGCTGGCACCTAGTGATCACTCAAATTCAGTTCCCATTTTCATGTTTCTTGATATTCTCTGCTCTGTCCTTCCCTTCTTGACTAGGATGAAGGCCTCTCTCTACCACTGTGCTTTTGTGTGTGTGCTATGTTTTAATTACGTCATTGAAGTGTAATTTACATACAACAAAATGTACCCATTTTAAGTGCATGGTTTGAAGCATTTTGACAAATGTAGACAGACATCTGTGCCTATCTATGCATATGGAACATTTCTGTCACTCCCAAAGGTTTCCTTCCAAGTTAATCTCTATGCCCCTATACCTGGCCCTAAGAAACCCCTCATCTCTTTCTTTTTATTTTATTTATTTATTATTTTGAGATGAAGTCTCACTCTGTCTCCTAGGCTAGAGGGCAGTGGCACAGTCTTGCCTCACTGCAACCTCCACCTCCCAGGTTCAAGCCATTCTTCTGCCTCAGCCTCCCGAGTAGTTAGGATTACAGGTGCATGCCACCACTTCTGGCTAATTTTTTGTATTTTTAGTAGAGACTGGGTTTCACCATGTTGGGCAGGGTGGTCTCCAACTCCTGACCTCAGATGATACATCTGCCTTGGCCTCCCAAAGTGTTGGGATTACAGGCATGAGCCACAGTGCCCAGCCCCAACTGATCTCTTTCTATTGATATGTGTTACATTGTCTTTTCTTAGAGCTTCATATAAATGGAATCATACAGTACATATTCCTTTGTGTATGGCTCTATTCATTCAATCTAATGTTCTGAGATTCTTTGAATGCATCAGTAGCTGGTTCCTTCTTACGGCACTTTTAATTGCATCATAATTTATCTGATTCCTCCACTAGACTGTGAGGCCTTCAAAGGTTTCATTTTTTTCTTCTTTGGTTCTCAAATAAGTACCCAGTAAATGTGAGAGAGAAGGAGCAAGGAATCGTGAGGGGATTGCCATGGGGATTGGCTGCAACCTTGCCATCTGTCCATCCCTGGGAGGCAGTACTTTCAGTCCCAGCAGAACCCCATCCACAGACACTTACAGCAGCCAGTCCACAGCCACCAGCAGGCTGATGTCCTCTGTTGGCAGGCCCACAGCTGTCAGAATGAGGAGCATGGTGACCAGCCCGGCACTGGGGATACTGGCCGCGCCGACGCTTGCCAGGGTGGCTGTGAGGCTATGAGAACAGAGAAGTCTAGGTCACAGGAATGGAAAGAATCTTAGCAAAACCAACCCTGGCAATTTTAAGCTCAAATTTTCCTGCAGCCATAAAATTCACCCCCGAAACCCCACCCCTCCCCAACTCTCCACTAAGAAATAGAGGAATCTAAAGTAACAAGGATCAGGAATTAAGGATTAAGGCCTATTTGGGTTCTGCTCAATTATGATGTAAGCTTATAAACTCATGGATTGGAGCCTTATTCCCATCATACTATCCAATTAGTCTAATATATCACAGGGCTCAAATAAGGTAAGCGTGGCTCTAAAAGCAGGCAATGAAATATTAAAGAAGAAAAACAAATCACCCTTAATCCTCCCATGGAAATACAACTGCATTCATTTCTGCTTACACTTTTATGCCTCTGTGAGCACCAGAGACTACGTGGCGAGGGTCTGAGAAGGCCATTGCCAAGGTTAACATGAGAACTCAGAATAGCAAATATCCAGGCCCAACCGAGTGCACATCAGGGGAACAAATCAACAGATTCCAAATGACACTAAGCATCAGGCACCTGGATGCCTCACTATGGGCTGCAAAATACATTATTCAGAAAGAGGATGCCAAGAAATGATCATGAAAGAAAGGGATGCTTTCTTTCTGAAGCATCTCATCAGTTCTTTCCAAGCAATGCCAGGGGCACACCCAGCACCATTCTGAAGTTTGTCTCTGGGAGAGGGTTAATCTAGAATTCAAGTGCACTGTCCTGACACCAGGGAGTCTCCTGTGGTCCAGCAAAGAGCGATGACTCTTTTTTTCTTCTTTTCTGGATGCCATTTATACAAAACTGTCATATCAAAATGTGAGAGTACTTTGGAAATATGGATTCCCAAGTTGTTTTTGTGGGTTCCAAAAGGTAAGGGGGCCTGCTTTCTTTGTGGTTGTAAAATTCTAGAAATTTTATAAGCTGAGAGGCAGCCTTTCAAATTGTTCCAACTAAATCCATGCCATCAGTGTGACCAAGCACAGAATCCTGGGGTCTTATCATCGGGAGGGACCTGAACGTACCTAGTTTTATGTGTTTGGGGAGATGAAGTTCCCTGGAGAGCCTGTGGTTTGAGCTGTTTTTCCCATATTGCCATCTTTCCCGGGTTTAGGCCCGTCCTTGCATAGACAGTTCCCCTAGTGTGATCTACAGACCCCATCCATGCCTTTCTCCTCCCCCACCAATGTGGAGCTGGTGTCAGAGCTCAGATAACTCCAATTTCCTTGAATCCATCTGGGTCACTGGAGGTACAGTACGGAGTGCTCATCAGTGACAGTTCTGCAGCTGAACAACCTGAGTTCAAATTCTAGCTCTGCCACTTAATAACCACATGACTACAGCCAACTTAACCTCTCTGTGCCTTGATCTCTCATCTGTAAAAAGAAGATAGTAATGGTATCTCTCTCATGGGGTGGTCCGAAGCTTTCAGGCGCTAATAAATTAAAAAGCACTTAGAAGAGGCCGGGCACATTGCAACCTCCCCCAGTAAATGTGAATTGTTTTTCTTATCAAGGAATCTGGACAGGACCAGGCTGCTTTGCAATGAAAACTTCCCTAAAGCCCCAAGAGCTGGAAGATGGGAATTCTCAACCATTTCCCAAACAGACAGAACACCAGGGAAGGGGAACTGCCCAAGTTCCAACAGTCTTGACCTTGACTGTTTTATTTACAGCATCAGTTGCTCTGAGTCACTCCTGCACATCCCTTTGCACTGTGGCCAATTATCTGGTTATCTTTCGGTTGTGTGAGATAAAGTCTTATAAAGACAATGCTTCCTGGAAGTTGCTTTCCCCTCTTTTCCTTCACCGTAATATTACCCTCATTCTCCCGTGGGCACTGTGTCTGTCTGTGAAATTCTAAGCCCTGCAAGAGCTCCTTGGGCAGTGATTTTCCCTGCCTCGCCTCAGTGCTTTCTGCTTTGCCTGGGCTTCCACTCCCCTGGCTCACTTCTCTAGGGTTCCTGGAAGCTGTCAAGATACTAGACACAAAATATCAGAGGAGACCCTCACAGTAACCCTGCAAGAGAAATATATGGTAACACCTGCTTTCACTATGAGGAAAACATAGATAGGATGGGCGGAGAAACTTAGGTCACACAGTTTGACATGGTCTGCTGGGAATTTGAACAGGATCTGCTTGATTTCAGTGCCATGCTGGCCCTTGACGGCCTATATTGAAAATTCTATGAATTAATACTAATGCTAAGAATTCCTAATCACTATTTTCCTACATCCAGTGAAAGGAGAGGATGAAGAATTTACTTGCAAGTGCAGCATGAAGACGGATTTGGGTATTTTCCTCCAAATAAACTGCAGGCATGAAGTATATACACCCGTGGTGGGTGGCCCAGAGGTAGCCCTTGCGGTGTCTACGATTTAGGAGGATTTGACTGAACTCACCCAGAGGCCAGAGATTTAAACGTGTATCATCAAACTCATCTTTTGTCAAGTGAAAATGTTCAGTAGTATTGCTGTTAATATAAAACAAACCCTGCGTAGATAAATTTATATAATTTAAGCACAAATGCAATCACTTACTGGTCCATTCACCCATTTCTAAGTTCCTATCTAATAGTGGGAACTTAATGGAAAACATGGTTACCACCTTGACCAAGAATTGAGGGACCAGAAATCACCTTTGCTTGGCAAAAGACTTCATTAAGAAGCCCTTTTCATCTTTGAGAATTAAAGCAAGGGAGGTTAGCAGTCTCATGGGATGTCTGTTAGGACGTAATGTAGAAAGGTTTGATCTTCTGACCCAAAGTATGTTTTCCATTGTCAGTAACATCATGGTACTCATGACGTCACGGCTACATTTTTCTTTAATATTCTAGGAGTATTTCGACATCAATAATAACAACATCAGAAGCTAACACTTATTGACAAGTGACTTTGAGCCAGGCACCATGTTCTCAGCCACCCTAGAATTTGTTATTGTTCCCATTATGCAGATGAGAAAACTGAGGCTCCCTTATAGTATGTAATTCATGGGGTAGTTGTGAAGATCATATTATATATAAAAATTATTATTTTGCAACCCAACAGTATAGTATAGTGGAGGCAGTGTATGTAATGGTTAAAAGCACAAACCCCAGAGTGAGGCAGCCTGGGTTCAAATCCCATTTCTGCCTCTTACAAACAGTGTGATCCTGGGCCAGTTACCTCATCTTACTCTGCTTCATTTTCTCCATCTGTAAAATACAGAACCCAATCCCTGCTTTTTAGGGCTGTTCCTAGGATCACAAGTTAAAATTTTTAATTAATTGAAGCCTATGTCAGCATTTGCAGACTTAAATTGTCGTTGTTCCTCTAGATGGCTATGGGTGATCTATTCTCTGAGCCTCTGTTTCCTTATCTATGTATAAGGTGAGATAATTTAGCAAGAGAAACTAGGAGATGTTTCAGATGATACACTCTAGCTGATTAAATAAATCTGATTGTTATTTCATGTTTTCATATTATGTGTGTGTGTGTGTATATGTATTAAACATGGTGAACCTTTTCTTTTCTCTATTTGCTGACTTAGTTGCTAAAGTGAACTCAGATGCATATGGGATATTCATGAAATCTTCTGGAATGGTTATAAGGTGAGAGGAGAAAGCTGTGTTTCTACAAAAATGTCTCTGAGCTGGTTGAATACCTCAGAGCTAGACAGATAAAGCACAGGCTCTGAGGTGGCCATTCCATAGCAGTATCAGCCCCTAGAACACATAGAGGACACTGGGCAGTCCCTGACTTTGACTTTTTAACAATCTGAGCATGTAGAGACATCAGACCCAAATGGGCACTGCCTTTTAGCCTTTTAGGAGAGATCGTTTCCTAAGAGAAGTGGGCCTTCTTAAGAGTGGGCCTAGGGGAGAATAGACTGTTGAATAACATGAGCCAACCAGGCATCAGTTTATTACCAAAGTTTCTAATATAGAGGTCGACAGTGCTGCCTGGGGTTTGAAGTGGGAGAAAGAGGTTAGTGCCTTAGCTGGAACCAAAAAAATACTGCCTCTTCTAATGCCCAACGGAAAAAATGTCAATAAAAACACTATTCTAGTGTATTTTTTTAAGTCACAGTCAGAAAGCAGAAATGACCTATGGTTGGAAGACATAAACTGTGGAATAGACATTTGACTTGTGCCTCTGGCACCCACAGCCATGAGACCTAGGTTTGTCAGATAATTTCTCTGAGCCTCACATATCTCCTATGTAAAATGGGAATAATGACTATCCCTTCTCTTCAGAAATGCTGGGCATGTTCAAAGCAATCTATGGAAACTGTGTGGAAAGAGTCTGCCACCTCAGAGGAACCGAAAGAGTGGTGTGGTTGTCATCACAGAGGATGAAAGTGTATTCCAGTGTCTACCTCATTCATTTTCTGAAGTGAATCACCCAGGTCTGGGCTGTTCTAAGATTTGGAATTCTCTTTCTACTACAAGTGTACCTGTCACACAGAATGTGACCCACTTACTCCCTATGTTTTCTGATCCTGTAGAATCTGAGAGGGAAAATAAAACTTATAAATTGTTGAGTCCGAGACTGACAAACTTCCATGTCCTAAAGGGCCAAGCTATGGTGACAGGTGCAGCAGACTAGGCATAAGTAATAGAGAGCAGGGGAGACTGTAGGAAACCAAGGGGCAGCTGTCTTATAAAAGGATGAGTTTCTAATCTTTTACAACATATTTCAAGGCAAACAAAGCAACACTCTGGACTGGGAGTCCATCCATGAACTACCAACTTGCAGCCCTAAATTTGGAATACCTTCCTTATTTATAGATGAGGAAATTGAGACTGAGAGCAGGGATATGACATAAGTTAAGGCAGAAATTGGCTTCTGGCTTAATTGAAATGTTTAGATGGGTTGAGAGTGCCAGTATTAAAATGATGATTGTAAAGAGCTTCATTTCATGCTATAATGTCTATATAACACTGAATCAGTTGAAGACTGATATTTTCAATGACTTAACCTATAAATAAGAAACTGAAGTGTTGGCTTGGCTAGTAGGTGTGATCTTTAAGTTTATGGTGAAGCAATGTGTTTTTAATGATCTCTTAGGAAAATGTTCCTTCTGAATTTTTAAAATTATGAATGCACATAAATAAAAATCGCTTTAGTAAAAGCAAAAGTATGTGCTATTTATTTGTAATAAAATCTTATATGTCATACTGGGGAATCTCTTCCAGTATTTTGTCATTTCTGCCATCACCCTCTGATGATGGACTATTTAAGGGAGCATATTTTAGTGAAACAAAAATTGGATCCAGAGTCAGCTGATGTCGGCCTCAATTACAGTCCTGCCAGGTCATTACTGATGTTGACTTCACTCACAGTCGTGCTGTAGCCACGGACAAACTACCATGCCTCTAGGTGCCTGAGTTTCTTCATCTATTAAATTGGCAAATAAATTACCCTACCTACATCACGGGATTGCTAAAATAATATCCAATTTCTAAAGCAAGTTGACTTGTGTAATACAAACAGGCAGTAGTAATAAGGGTCTTTTTTCTTGTCATAATCTTTTCCCTTTGAAGGCAGCCAATAATTTCTCTTATTTTATTACCTCCATCATCTTCCACTAGCAGAACTGAAATTCAAGTGGCCTCTGTCACATGAATAGTGTGGAGGGGGAACAGGGTAGAAGGTTGTTTTTGTGTTTCACCCCACCCTCCTCACCTTACAGTCACAATCTGTCCTCCATCCAGCACAACACCATTCATTTGGGCTATAAATATGGCGGCCACGGCTTCGTAAAGGGCTGTACCATCCATGTTAATGGTTGCTCCAACGGGAAGGACAAATCTAGTCACACGCTTATCAATCCCCAGATTTTCTTCCAGGCAACGGAAGGTGACAGGCAATGTTCCAGCACTGAGATCAAAGAGATGGAGAGAGACAGGGTGATGTCCACTTTAGAGAAGCAGGACAAGGCACAAACTGGAATGACACTTTAAAGTTCTTGTTTTGTTTCAGTCAAACAATGTAACATGCGAAAAAGCAGTGTCTGGAGCCAAATTAAAAACTGGTGAGTTACAGGCTCAAATTCAATCTTATTAAGATGCTATTCGGCAGCAAAATATTTTCATTGGTTCTGGTTTTGGAGATACACTCAGAACTTCAAGTTTTTTTTTCTTTTTGCCACTGTTTCCATCTTGGATTTGATATTGAAGTGCATCTGATTGCCCACATTAATTGGGTTGCAAAAAAAAACAAAAAACAAAAAACACCCAAAACAAAAACCACCTATGTCAGAAAAGGATCCGCTATCAGCAGTAAAATGGGATGAGTGATTTTTGAAGAACCCATAATTTCATGCTAGAAATGCTGTTTCTAATAAAATGACTACATGGATTGCATTTACTCCCTGGAAATTGCCCTGACCTGGGCTTACTAATTTTTACAAGAATAAACATGTCCAGCACCCTTCAGCATGAACCTGAGCTTTGAGAAATTCACTGGGGAAACTCACAGATAGTCCAACTCCCCAATATAAGCTTGTCAGCCAATTCTACAGTCACTTCAATGGCATGGAGCAGGAAAGTACGTGCTCGATAGCAAATCAAAGATTAAATATAAAGTGACTTCACTCCCCACTCCTCCCAGGCCTGGGATGTGAATTCATGGCCACATGACCCAGCCTCAAAGGCCAGAATTCCTGACATGTTCATGTGTCTTCAAAATTGGAGACCAATAAAAATAAGGGTTGCTAAAGGCCAGAATATTATTTCCATGTGGATAGAAGTGCCTGGGAGGGCGAGTGGATTTGCTGCAAAGTTTATGTAGAAAGCCATGCAGAACACTCACACTGCCATGGGAGTGCTTCATGGACCGTCTGTCTGCTTGACTTTTTTCTGTTCAAATTGTAGCGAAGTGAATTAGAAAACCTGCAATGCTGACAACATTTGGAGGTGTTTTCTCTCTTGCATTTACAGCTTTTGTCAAAGTTCCCTCCTTCTACTGGTCAGAATTAGTGACTAAGCTGGACATAGATTCTCCGTAGAAGTCTTGGTTTCTCAAAGAGTCAGGGAAGACCATCTGCTTCAGGGAAGCTAAATGAAATGAAGATTCCAGGGCCTATCCAGAACCAACGAATCAGAAGCCCTAAAATTAGGGATGCCCAGATGTGCAGCTTATCAAACCACTGGCCCACGAGCTCCTAAAACAACCTTAGGAGAGCCAGATGTATCTTACCAGAACATTCTTTGTGATTTCAGGACAGAGGGGTCTGCCTCATGTCTCCTTCTTGGTCTTGGGTAGGAAGAAGAAATGTTTGTGGGGGACATCTCATAACTAAAATCTTGTAAACCCAGGGCAAAGTTGGAGTCTGACCTCATTCGCATGCAGGGGATGCCATCAGACCTGGCTTGTTGTCTCAGTGAGAGGTCAGTGTCCCTTTCTTCCTCTTACCCAACCCTTTCCTGGGCCCTTTTGAAGCGTTGCCAGGACACCAGGACTAGTCTGAGAGGACTGCTCAGTTATGGTTGGTGGCCAGAATTCTCAATTGCAAGGATTCTCAAATTTAAGGACACATCTGGGATTGCTGGAATACATGTATATTTATTATTGCATTCATTTTTCCAAAATGTCATCAAATGGTCTTTGGACAATTAAGTTGACTGGGGAAAATGATTGGTAAGGTATAAAAATATCTTGTATTTCTCTACTGGACAGGATCTCTTTGTGTCTTAAAAAACCCACCCACCCGATCAAACTAGGACTTGAGAATTTTAATTTCAAGCTTTCCTGTATGGACGGGCTGACATTCCACATTGTGTTTTTGGCTTCTGCCTCCATGGACATGTGACAGTCTTCAAATGTTGCTAATAATAACTGTGAGATATTTGAAATGCTTATTTTTTTCCATATTAAACAGCCTGCACTGAAGTTGGAGGGATGAAGACAGTCAGTCTCAGGCCACCCCTCCATCTGTCCTCCCTGACACCAGCCTCTGGAACCATTGAGAAAAGCCTGTCAAATACCTGCAACATCTTTATTCTATACAAGGGTCAAGGAGGCAGGAAGGATATTTAGTGGGCTGTCGCTGGGTTTTGCACTTTCTTTTTTCTTCTTTGTGACCACAATGGCAAAAAAACTTTGAGTTAATTCTTGGTACATGACTCATGCCACACGGCCTTTAAAAAAAAAGAAATTCCACATCCAGGCAAAGGCACATTTTAGCTAAAGATTAAAACCACATTTTTTTTTTCCAAATGAAATACAGGGTTAGGAGAAGAAATTGGTCCCACATTTGCAGCCTTGGTTGGATAATCTGAGCATTTGTCTCTTATTTAAACACAAATTTGGGCCATCCAAATCCCCGTAAGATTCACCTTGTCTTATAAAGTTACTGAAATAATGGTCTAGTCATTCAAAATAAAATAACAATAATATTTTTGCAATAGTTTAAAGATCTAAACCATAAAGGTATTAGAAGAAAATAAAAAGTCATATTGTATTAACTTGGAGAAACTATTCCAAAGCAAAATCTAAATTCTAAATTCTAAAGAAAAGTATTGACAGCTTGACTAAGCGTAAATTTAAAACTTCTAGAGGCAAAAAAGCACAGTAAATTTTTAAGACAAATGTCAAGGGAAGAGGAGCATTATTGGCAACAAGTGACACATGAGCTAATATTCTTATACAAAAAGAGAGCTTAAAAATCAATCAGGAAGGGACATATACCCCAACAGGAAAATGACCAGGTTCACAAACAATTCTCAAGGCAGGGGAAAGGGGAGGGGAAAGAGAATTAAAGATATGCATATCTCATGAGATTACTTTTCACCAATAGGATTGAAAAGTGTTAAAGTGAACGGTAGTATCCAGAGCTGGCAAATAAGTGGGGAAGGGCACACCCTCAAACCCCAGTTAACGGGAACATAAAATAATAAATTTTTCTGAATAGCAATCTGGCAACGTGCTTCAAAACCATCAATGTGCATACCATTTGACTCTGAAATTCCACTTATCCTGAGGGGATCATCATATAAACTTGCAGAGATGTGCGTGTAAGGATGTTTGTCACAGCCTTGTTTAACAGATATGCCTTAAATGTACAACATCACTGAGGTTGGGATAGGGTGGGGTTTGCACTGCGGTACATACAGAGCATTATTTTGCAGTTTAAAAAATAGTAGTATAGTCTATTGTAGTAGATATAACTTTTATGATATGTTGACCAGTTTAAAAAAAAAAGCTGTTTGTAAAATTATTCACACACACACACACACACACACACACACACACACACACACAGTAAGAGCTGGAAAGGTATATAACTAATGACTAATTAAAATGTTATGACCAGTTATCACCAGGTGGTAGAATAATCGGCAAAGCTCATTTTCTTCTTCAAAATTGTATTCACTGCCTGAACTTTTTCACAATCAGCCTGCAGAAATTTAATTTTATTTTTGTTTTCTGGTTACGAGCCTCATATGAGATAAAGTATGAGATACTAGGCTCATAACCAGAAAACAAAAATACAATTAAAAACCAGGTTGTTCCCCACCCCCTCCCCCCCTTTTTTTCCAAATGGAGAAGATCTGTATGGAGATACTTAGTCATGGGAAATTTATAAAACAAAGAAGGAAATTTTGAAGTATTTTCCTTCATCTTTGGAAACTGGGTGCAGAATCTAGATCCCTAAGATTGCATATATTGCAGCTTTGCCTGAAACTCCATTTTCTACTAGCACCGAATCCTCATTGATTTGCAAGATGCAAATTTAATTTGACTTTCCAGGTGGTCACCATCATTGGTCTGTTAGGTCGCTTAAGGGAAACGTGACTGTCTGCTCAGTAGCTGTGGAGCAGTGGACCCTGCTGTGTCATGGAGTGGCAGCTCACTGGCAGCACATGGGCACAGGTTCTGCAGCAAGAACCTGACGATGAGCTATGGGTTTCAGAATTTGCTTCCTTCCCTGCCACCTGTTTTATGATTCAGTCTTAGTTTTGTGACCCAAGGACATGTGTGCAGAAATAAAGCAATGATTGCAAGCAGAAAATAAAACACTAGTCTTAAAAATTCTCAGTTGTAAGACCGACCTTCCTTCCTTCCTTCCTTCCTTCCTCCCTCCCCTCCCTCCCTCTTTTTCCCTCTTCTCCTCTCCTCTTCTCTCTCCCTCCCTTCCTCCCTTCCTTCTTTTCTTCCTTTTCTTTCTTTCTTGATGGAACCTTACTTTGTTGCCCACACTGGAGTGCTGTGGCACAATCTGAGCTCACTGCAACCTCCGCCTCAAGCTATTCTCCTGCCATGGACTCCTGAATATCTGGGACTACAGAAATCTGCCACTGCCCCCAGCTAATTTTTGTACTTTTAGTAGAGATGGGGTTTCACCATGTTAGCCAGGCTGGTCTCAAACTCCTGACCTCAAGCGATCTGCCTGCCTTGGTCTCTCAAAGTGCTAGGATTACAGGCATGAGCCACAGCGCCCGGCCCAGTTGTAAGCCATTTCTTACGTATTTCTTCTTGTTCATTTTCTGAGTTGTTTTTGTTAGATTCAGTCCAAGATAATTAATATTTCAAAAAATGATTTTTTTTTTTGCGTATCTCTGGGGTCCTCTTTGGCTTTCTAGGCACTGGAACTAGGTAATATATGAGGAACTGATTCTTCATCAATGCCAAGTTAACTCCGGGGAAAGAAAATCCATTAGAGGTTCATATCGAGGTCAAAGACTTGGCTGAATTTTGTTTGTTGGAAAAATCTCACCTAACATACCATTTACTTTGTAAAAGCTATTGTCCTACTTCTGAAAATTTATTTGCCAAAATCTTCAGAGTAATATTCTGTGATAGCATTTTCCAAATCACAGGTGAAATATTAATTGAAAAGCATCCTGTCAAACTCCCTCTGGAAAACATTTAAAACTAAATGAATGATACAAGTGGCAAATTAGGCATGCAAACAAATAGCATGCATTTATCTGAAAAATTTAATGTGAGATCATATTTCCAATATAGTTGCAAAGCAGCAAAAATGTTCATCAGAAGGCTCCGAAGTTCCTAGAAGGAGCCAAAAATTCAAAGCATTTACCTTTTCCAAAAGATCTTAGTAATGTGTGCCAAGTGTTCTTATTGAATTTTGTGATGGGAGAGTTTTAAGAAACAAGAGGTGGCAAAGAGGGCAAAAGAGTCAACGAAGAGAAAAGTGATTTCTTTTGTTCTCTACCTGGAAGCGGTGCCCAGAGCAGTGATCCAAGCTTGGAAAATGCCAGCAAAAAAGGAGAAGGGGTTTTTCCTGGTCACTACAAAGTAAATCAAGGGGAGAAAGATGCCCCCGTGGATGATGAGGCCTATGATCACTGTTACCATGTACATTCCCAGCTGCCTAGCAACCACTTCTAAGTCCTTGATTGCAATGATCTTCCCACAGATCAGGCAGGCGATACCCAGGGGAGAGTACCTGAAAAACACAAAAGGGAAAAACAGCAATGAAGAGATCATTATGGGATTCAGAACCTGGGCCTCCTTTGTACCTCACCCTGAGGAAAACACTTGGCTTTTCTGTACAAAACAAAACACAGAGTTTTGCTGAGAGAGAGGGTCATGAGATTTTATAGATGTTATTTTTTACTTTATATCAACTTCCTTAACCAAAATCTGTTTTGTGATCCAGTGGTGCCTGCTTGGATGAAAAGTCCAAAGGCAAACTCTGTTGCTAACGTGAATTCTAGGAATAAAGGAGAGGCCATCTTTTAGCTTTACCATCAAGTTCAAAGCTGAGAGACCCAGGTGTGTCTCTAGGAATCTTGGGTTGATTTGGGTTCTTCAGTTCTTTCCTATAAATTTGGGAATAACTTTTGAGCTTTTTAGAAAGCTATAAACTGGAATTTGTAAACTTGCATTGTTTTTACCTTAGAAGATAGGGAATATATTAAAACGAGAGAGAGAGTAAGAGAGAGAGAGACAGAGAGACAGAGAGAGAAACAAGGAAACCATCTGAGCCAAAATATACATTTAGAGAAAGGTGGTTTTATGACTTCTAAGTCTGAAAGTATTTTTTCCATACAATGTCGGCTACTGTCATTACGTTTTAAGCACTATGGTGAGAGCTGCACTCACAGTTCGTCACTTAATTCTCACCACAACTCGAAAATCTAGGTGTCATTATTGCTACTAGGCAAATAAAGAAACTGAGGTTAAGAAAAACTTAACCTCAGTTAAGTTAAGCTTAATCAGCCCAAGACCAGGAAACCAGGAAATGAGAGAACAATCTCAGGTCTGTGAAACTCCCAACTGGGGGATTTTCCCAACCAAGATAAGCCACTTCTGCTTAGTGAGCAATCATAGCTCTTTGTAGATAAGCAATTTACCATATAGTAATTTATCCTATATAAACTGATGTTATAGTTCTATCTTATTATTACTTTATAAAGAGTTTGGAAACTACTCACTCTTGGGAAAGCTAACTATTTTCTCTTTCAACCCGAATGTGTTCTTCCCGTATTTGCTAAAATCCTTTATTATCTAGAATGGTGTTGTCAGGGCATGAATTTGTTCAGCCTGTGACAGTTTCTGGCTAGCATAAAAATATTTGTGGGAAAGTTGATACCTTATTAAAAATTAACATACTTAAGAGAAAGACTATGGGGGAAATGAAGTCCCCAGATAAGGCTTCCAGCAGGGGTTAGGGAGTCAGGAAAGGCTGCTGTAATTGTAAGATCTATACAGACTTGCAATTGTGCCTGGAGAAAATGCTTTCCTGGGTTAAAGAAAAAAAAGTGAAGAGTAGATGAGAGACACATATATGACATCTACATAAGACATGGTGCTCATCTTGTCACTTATCAGCTATTAGTATATGACCAGGGTTGGTAGCTTATTCTCATTTTACAGATACGGTTGTCAAGGCTCAGAGAGGCTAACTCCAACCTTATGGAGATGTTGTGAGGATTAAAGTTTTGAGTATGCACATATGTGTGCTGCTAAGAACCCCTCTCGCATCTCCGTCAGTACCATCAATTCTCTGAGTCCTGATGAAGGAATTCTTTGTCGGTTCTGTTTTCACACATGTATCCCAGGTCCTCTCATCATTCATGCTTAATAAGTCTGAATTAATGATGCTTTCTAGAACATCTCACGGGATCCCAATTGCAAGATGATTTTATAGCAAAATATTCTCTCAAGAGGAACCTAAACCTGCAGGAACTGATTTGTAACTGACACAGATTAGTTAAACATGGGCATAGCTGCTCTCTTTCCATAGGAGCATCTGGCCTGAAGCTTCTACATTTCCTTTCTGTGGGGTGCAGGCTGGCCAAGTGTGAGGACTGCTTCCCTAGACATTAGGAAGTCTGAGACAAAGCTGTGCTCATGTCATTAAACCCTTGGCTCTCTCACCAGTTTATATTCTGCTGGTGTGCCCATAGTCACACATCTCATAAATTATCAAGGTAGTCTCAGGAACCAGCACTTTGTTCACTGAGATGGTAAATAACTAAGCAGAATGCACCTTCCTATAAAGCCAAAAAGCATTTATCTTCATAAACCAAGATATCAATTCTTTACTAAGCACCAAGCACCTTTTAAAGATGTCCAGAAAAACACAAATATAAGCTGTTTTGGGTGCCATTCGATTTTCCTTCTCTCCTGGGACAAGCAATTTGTAGAACGGAGAGAAAATGCTTTCAAGGCTCTTGGCTAAAAAAAGACTAGCTATAGCATCTCCTGGAGAATGCATTTGAGCCACAGACAGATGGACTAGAGAGAGGTAACAGTTTACCTCTGGGGCACTTAGCCAGCTGGGAAAAGCATGAGCTTCTATTGTTAAGTGGAGAGTGTTAATTAAAGGCCAGAAAGTGAAGTGTTAGGGTTTATAAATATGGCACGCAGAAGCCCTTGCTAACCCAAACAGCTTGATCTCTGGGACTGGTCTGAGCATTAAGTAGAAGAAGGAAAGAGCCTTTGTTCTGTGAAGTCTTTTAGGGTCATTACTTTCCTGTGCCTATTTTTGTTTTATTTATTTATTATTTTTTTAATTTTTATTTTCTTGCTCTGTTAGCCAGGCTGGAGCTCAGTAGTGCAATCATTTATTGCTGCAACCTCGACCTCCTGTGCTCAAGCAATCCTCCCACCTCAGCCTGGGAGTGGTGACCATGTGTATGCCACCACTCTCAGCTAATTTTGTTTATTTTTATTTTTGTAGAGATGGGGGTCTCACTGTTTTTCTCAGGCTGGTCTCAAATTCCTGGCCTCAAGCAATCCTCCCGTCTCCGCCTCCCAGAGCACTGGAATTACAGATGTGGCCAACCAACTGCACCCATTTTTAAAACAAATAACTTAGACCTTCACTCTGAAGCTATCAGGTTTCTGGGTTTCCATTCAATGAATTTTCTCATTGAAAATGGCATTCCATGGAAAAGGAAGGGCAAATGCCCAGCACCCAAGGCTACCACTCAAAGCTTCTGAGATGAAGCCAACAATCAAAACCACAAACCAAAGGTGCATAAAGAGGCTGAGGGCTTCACGGAGAGTTCTAAAGCCAAATAATGCCCAGTGATTGTTAGTCCAGTTTCCACATTAAAAGGAAATGGCTAGAGAGCTAGGGAGAGGAAATGGGTCCCATGCTGCTCTTAGGCTGGTCCTGTTCTCTGTTTCCAAGGCCACAGATTTATCCAGGAGTGGCCTGTGGAATCTTTTTCCTACTGCTGTGTCCATTCTAACCTCCCCCCACTTTGTCCCTCAGCCCTTGACAGCCTAAGGGTCCCACCAAGATCCCCCTCCCAGGACTCCACAAACACCTACTCATCTATAGCAGGCAAGCTACCTAGAATTCAATCCATTTCCTTGTATCAGAAACTCCCAGTTTCCTGTTAACAATGTGATTCCCGGGGCTTACCACATACCTATGGAGTCAAAATGTCCTGGAGCTGGCCTTGGGGCATTTATAATTTAAACAAGCTCCCCAGGTAATTCTGATGTGTTTGAAAACCAGTATTCCAAGAAAACAAAAATCTTGACTGCAACTGATGAAATGCAGATATTACTTGATGACCTTTTGGAAACCATTTACCTTAGCTCCAATTTCTTCAGGATCTTTGAGGTCTTAACAGACTGGAATAATTCATTTGAGGTTTTCAGGCCTGGGACAGTTGATGGGACAGGCATTTGGAGTGAAGGTAAGCTGAGGGACTTTCTCAGCCCTGCTGTGAAGGCCCTCTGGTTCTGTCCCACACATTTCCAATGGCTTATCAACAGAGCAAACACACATTCCCAGAGTTGCTGAAAGGTGCTGTCCATGGTCCAAAAATATCACAAATCTCCATTTTTCCCAATTCATTTAGGGACAGGTGTTCCAGCTATCCAAAAAGTGATTTTTGTCAAAAGTTACCTTTTGGGGATTAGAACGCTTCATCAAGACAGAGTGAAGAGCAGTCTGTACAGCCTCCAAGCTTATTATTCCTCCAGGGACTTCCTTTTACAAGTAAATGAAATTTCAACCCATTAAGGTGGGCTGCAGGACCCTGGGGGATTGGCCTCCTGCCCACCTCTCCAACTTCACCTCCGTTTGCCTGCTTTCACCAACCACACTCCAGCCTCTCTAGACCTTTGTTCTGATCCTCAAAAGCCTTTCCCTGCCACTTCTTCTCCCTGGAACATCCTCCCCCCAGTTCTTCACCAGGTTGCTTGGCTCACTCTGCAGGTCTTCATTAAAGGTCACCTTCCCAGATAGTACCACGTGGCCCATCACGTCTCCCCTGGTCACTGTCGCTCACTATTTCATGGTATTTGTTACTATTTGAATTAGTAATAAGTTCTAGAAAGAAAATTTGCTTCCACTTGCTCCCTTTTGGTTTTCCCTCTCCCTCTTCCCTAGAAATATAAGCTCCATGAGGGCCAGAACCTTTCTCTGTCTTAGTCACCATTATATCACCAGTACCTAAAATCATTGCCTGCACAGAATAGAATACTTATTGAATGAACAAAAAATGGATAGATTGACAAATATTCTTTGTTTGACTAAACTTCAGTTAGGCTTCTGAACCTTCTTCTGAGCTTTTGCTAAACCTTATAAAATCCAGTTTAGCAAAAAACTCTGCTAAGTCAGGTTAGCAAGAACCCCCACCCTCAAAATCTGATCACCCTCAATATCTGATCAGGTTCTTCAGGTGATGTCTGGTCACCCTGTGGCCTTCAGCAAGAATCCTGTGGGTCTGGTTTAGCCAGAATCCCTCTTACTCCAGACCATGCACTGCCCCACCTTGTTCCATGGCTATAAATTCCCACTTGCTCATGCTGTATTTGCAAGTGAGCCCAATCTCTCCCCCACTGCAAAATTTCATTGCTGTAGTCCCTGTGATCATTGCAATGGTCCTGAATAAAATCTGCCCTACTGTGCTTTAACAAGTGTCATTTAATAGTTTTTTTTTTTTCTTTAACAGTGTGGATTGATGGTGGTTTATTGGAAGAAGAAATTGGAAGAGCAGGCAGAGATTTTACTTCTTACTTTATGTTTTTATAGGGGTAAGATTATGAAACATTTTATTTTCTGTTTAAGTTTTTCAAATTTTGAAAAAAAATTAAATAACTTCAGAAGAAAATGAGGATATGAAAATCATACAAAAATTAAGGGATTTTCAGGCTTCCTTAAGAATTATGAACACAGAGATATAGAGGATATGGATTGAAATTGATGATAATCAAATAACAGCAAACAGCTGTTACTATAATACTAATCCATGTAAAGTGCTTAGTTTCCAGCACAAAGAAGATACTTCATGACTGTTGGTCAGTCTTTTTCTTTTCTTTTCTTTTCTTTTCTTTTCTTTGAGAAGCAGTCTCACTCTTTCCCCAGCTGGAGTGCAGTGACGAAATCTTGGCTCACTCCAACCTCCGTCTTCCAGGTTCAAGTGAGTCTCCTGTCTCAGCCTCCTGAGTAGCTGGGATTACAGGTGTCTGCCACCATGCTCAGCCAATTTTTGTATTTTTAGTAGAGCTGAGGTTTCACCATGTTGGTCAGGCTGGTCTCGAACTCCTGACATCGTGATCCTCCCACCTTGGCCTCCCAAAGTGCTGGGATTACAGGTGTGAGCCATTGCATCCTGCCCTGGTCACAGTTTTAATTCTCACAGCAACCTATGCTATGGATTCTATAATCATCCCATTTTACAGATCAGAATCTTGAGGTTTAGAGTGTGTCTAACTTGCCTAATGTCACACAGCTTGCAATAGGAGGATCCTGGATTCAATCTAGTCTGAAGTAAAAACAAAATTGATGTAGGTATCACTTCTGTACAGCTCCATAACATTGGACAAGTAAGCCTCTGTGCTTAGTTTTCTCATTTGGTAAATGAGTTAACAAAAGCACCTATTTTTGTTCGGTACTATTGTGAAGAATAGATGAACTAATGCACGTGAAATAATTGGAATAATATTAAGCATTTAGCAGGAATTTGGTACATTTATTTAACAATAATTTTCTCAATAATAAATGGGTTAGTACATGTACTGTAACTGACATAGTACCGAACATATAGCAAGAAGTTAATAAATAATTTTAATTTATATCATAATAAAAATAATTATTATATAATTATAATATATATCACAATATATTTTTATATTAATATGTAACATACTATATTATAATTATATTTAATAATTACATTATATAATTATTATAACCTTATATTTTTGCTATTATTATTATTGTAACTGCTACATAGAAAAGAATTCAAAAGAATTCTGCTTTTTTAAGCTTTGAGGGGTCAAAGAATAGTTGACTGCTGTATCCAGAACCTTCTTACACACATCATTAGCAAATACTGATTCTGACGAAGCAGCGAAAGAATTAAAGAAATGTGTACAATTTGCATCTCATGTCATGTGACATCCTCCTGACTATGAGCCTAGATGAGGTAACCAAACAGCTGTCAGAAATCATTCTAAGGTCTTATTCCTGCCTCATAACCATTTTTTACATCCCAAGATGATCATAAGTATTTAGGAATTCTGGTTTCAATGAACGGGAAGCTTCTTAATTCGTACCACTACCCTCCATCCCTGGGTAGAAGGGAGGCTACACTTTATCCCACTGACTCATCTGATGCCCTAGAAGATTCCCTTTCCTGCAAGGATTTAGTGGAAATCACATTGGTATGGATGTAGGAAGGACACACATTGCCCATGTTACTGGCATCATATTACAGAATTATCTGCTGCATATTTGGAGTAACAATGCATAATCTGCTAGAAATTCTAGGAAACAATGGAAGATCCTAATGTTTAAGCAAGATACTTACTCGGCATTGTGTATTGTCACGTACTAAACTCTCAACAGACTCAGATGAATCTGAAGGACTTAAAAAATATGTTTTACTACACTACCATATTACCAACTCTTCACACAAAAGAAATATTCAGAAATCTAGCATTGCCTGGGAAGCTGAAGAATCAGTATAGTCATAAAAGAGAACATGTTATTTTACTAGCAACCTTTCTGTGTTTTAAAAGCACCATAAAACAATGATCTGAACAAGCCAGGCCTGTTAAATATCATTCACGAAATAGTGAGGAGCATCTTCTTGACCTGAAATCTTGGAGCTTTCAGCTATCCCACTCGTTCCTAATGTTTTAGTAACAATTGACTACAGGCACAGCACCATGTTTGCTTTGTGGAGATAAGAAATAAGAACAGATTTTTTCCCTTGTGAGGTGGGGTGAGAGACAAGGAAAGGAAGAAGAGAAAAAGCAGCTGGAATGTCCATGAAAGGCACCTACAGAAAAGTGGAAAAGGATCAGAAGAGGTTTGGCAAAGAAGGTGGGTAGTCCTGTAACATGTGGAGATGGGGAATCGGTAACCCAGAATTCCTGTGGAAAAGAGAACACAGTGTGACTTGGTCTAAGAGTGGTTTTACTTTTTTCTAGGCAGACATACAGGACCATCCTAGGGATGTGAAACAAATGCAAGTAAAAAGCTTTTTGTCTGATGGATATGGGCCACCAGGAGTTTCCAGTAATTGAAGGTGACAGAGCTTCCACGATGAGAGTAGATGCTCATGTTCTCCTAGGCTCCCCTAGATTTCAGAGTCACTGACTATAAACACATGTGAAATAAAGAGGAAACAATATTGCTTAACAATTCAAACCAAAAAATCTACCTGCTTATGCCTCAAGAATTTTGATACCAATAGGAACTACAGCTCTTTCTCTACCTAGCTATAATATTCTTAGGCAAGTTAATTATTAGGTTGGTACAAAAGTAAGTGAGTTTTTTGCCATTGAAAGTAAGGGCAAAAACTACAATTCGTATGTTGAATTCATATGTCCCCCAAATCCATATGTTGAAACTTAATCCCCAGTGCAGGGGTGTTGAGAGGTAAACCATCTGGGAGGTGATTAGGTCATGAGAATGGAATTCCACTCTTCAGTGGAATCAGTGCTCTTAACAGATGTTTGAGGGTGCCTGTTTTCCCCTTCTACCATGTGAGGACACACATGAAAGTGCCGACTACCAGGAATAGGCCCTCAACAGACACCAAATCTGCTAGCGTCTTGCTCTTGGACTTGCCAGCCTCCTGAAGGGTGAGAAGTAAATTCCTATTGTTTATAAATTACTCAGTCTAAGATATCTTGTTATAGTACATGGAAAGAACTAAGACAATGCCTGTATAAAAGAGAACCCAGAGAGCTTTCTGAATCTCTTTCCATGCTGAGCGAGGTGGCTCATGTCTGTAATCTCAGCACTTTGGGAGGCCTAGGTGGGAAGATCACCTGAGCCCAGAAGTTTGAGATCAGCCTGAGTAATATAGTAAAATCCTCATCTTTAAAAAAAAAAAAATTAAATTAGCTGGTCATAGTAGTGTGCACCTGTAGTAGTCCCAGCTACTTGAGGCACTGAGGTGGAAGGATCACTTGAGCTGCAATGAGGAAGGTTGAGGCTGTGGTGAGCCAAGATCATACCACTGCACTCCAGTCTGGGTGACAGAGTAAGGCCCTGTCTCAAAAAAAATTATAATAAAATAAAATTCAAACAAAAAAATAAATATTTTTCTAATTGAGGATACAATGAGAAGTTGGGCTGCAACCTGAAAGAGAGCCCTTATCAGACCCAACCATACTGGCACCCTGATCTTGGACTTCCAGTCTCCAGAACCATAAGAAAGAAATTTCTGTTGTTTCTAAGCCACCCAGTCTTTAGTACTTTGTTATGGCAGCCCTAACTAAGACAGTTACATAAAAATATACAACCCGCTCTCAACTTCCTGGCCATACAACAGAGACAGTAGGTTAGATTTGGCCCAAGGGGCGTAATTTGCATACTATTGTTCTAGGGGAAGCTCCAAAAAAGAGATTTTCAACCATTTCTCAAGGCCTTTCTGGGAAGACATTTGATCAGCCCATGCCAAGGTTTTTCTACAGGGAGAGCTCCAGTATCCTCTGGGGACCCCCAAGGCTTTCTCATCCCACTGCTAAGAAGTAAGAACAAGGCCACTTACCACATGATCATGATCACTAACTTCATTACAATCTCATTCAAAATGTTGAAGAATTCCACCATCAGCTTGGCCTGATCTCCCATCTTCCCCATAGCAATGCCAAAAGCAATGAAAAACCCTATCAGACCTGTTGGGTGAATCACATTACACAGAAGGACAAATTACAAAGAATGTATTTTTTTCTCCCTCATTCTTTACCATTCCCCAATATATAGAGCCATGTTCTCACTGCTGAGAACCTATGAATTAGAAACCCTATGAATTAGACATTTTTAAAAAAGCATTATATTTCATACTGAATGTAACTTTCCTCTGGATAATTATGGATTTCTTGAACATTTTCCACATGAGCAAGTTAAACTGTAAGCAGTGTTAGGTCCTTGAAGAAAACGAATTCATTTTCATTCCAAACTAAAAGGTGCTCTCTTCTCTCTCCCCTCACTTACGATATCATGTGTAAGCAGATTCTATTATTACACAGATTAACAAGAAAAAGCTTATTGGGACTTGAGGATTATCATGGAAACTTTGGAGCCAATATGGAAATAGCAGAGGCCAATTAGCCAATAAAGTATTTGTTAGAGTTACATCTAGCTTGTTTTGGTGTTATCCCAAATCAAGGTGTGGCTGGTATGTTCCACTCTTACAAAATCCTAAATATAAAATTATTTTTTATTACTATACACATAAATTGACAGGGAGAAAAAATATTGAGAAATCAAATGGAAAGTAAGAAGAAATCCAAAACTCCAATGTATACAGTTTTAAAAAATGTAATCTGTTATTTATGAATTTGTCATAATTGATTTCAAGACTGAAATGGTTAGAATGCTATCTTTTTATTTTAGCTATTTTTTCAGGATTATGAAGACAGAATATACATTCACTGCCGGATTTTGCAAGTTCCTAGTCCCTCGACTCTCTTCTTCCTTCACTTGACATTCTTGACTTGTATCTAAGTTCAGGCTCACATCAGCCTCAGGGTCCCTAACCCCAGGAAGGACGTAAGGAGCTTCATCTCTACCCTCTTCATGTCAGCTTCACATTGCACTAGAACTTCGACCAACTCCAATATCCAGCCATGAGTCTTACTTCTGTGTTGGCTTTACCTCATCTCCTGCACCTGAGGTCCTGGGAGTCTGCTGTATACTTTAGTTCCTCCAATAATAGTCCTGGCTTTGCTCCTCCTACCACTCCTGTTGGTCCCTTCCATTCTCTTCCTCAGTATCTCATGCTCAGGCCTGGAGTCTCACCCCAATGCATCCAGGGACTGGGGCACACTGTGTGGATTACAGGTGTTTCCAGGACTGTCTGGGGGCTGTCCGAATTTCGAATTGCTAATCCCCATGTGCTCCCTGACCTCTGACCCCTGATATAGTATTACCAGTCTTGAGCTCTCAGTTCTGACTACTTACATGTTCTATAAATCAATGTTGCTATGCTCTTGGCTACAGGACTTTGCTTGCCCACCTGACTTGTTCTCTTACTTTGAAGTATAAGCCATCTTCTCTTTTCTCCTTTCCCCACACCTAACCTGCTCAATTTGGTGGTCTTAATTTCCAGTCCCTCCCTACTACATCCAGTTTCCAAGGGTGTCTCGTTATGCCTGAAGTCTTAACCTCTACCTAGTAAAGTATAGCATTACAATTTGTTTCTTTTAGAAGGAAATTCCTTTTCTCTGAACCTTTGACTTCACTCTTTCCCTAGTCATCTAACGCTCTTTACACCAAGCACATATGAACCCAGGTTGTCTAATTACCCTTTGATGGTTGTCTAACTACCTTTCTATCTTCAGCAAAAAGAATCCGGCCCTTGCACTTGGGGTTGCTAATACTTCACATTTAGTATCTCCTCTTTTTGCTCTCAGCCAGAAAGCTTGACTAGTGACTTCATAAGTGAGTTACTGGCCTGGAAAGACAAAGGCTTAGGGAAGATTAGATCCAGGACAGAGGGAACTAGTTCTGCAGTAATGTACAAATCAATTTCAGGCCATTCCCAGGCCCCCTCTCTCAAGCCCATGGAGAGAAGTCTGCTAGGTGGGTTGTGAGAAAGAATCAAGCTGAATATTCTGGGTGAGAATAGCTCACATTACTTGGTTAATTTCATTTGAAATTAAGAGAAAATGCCCAAGGTATCAAGGTCCCAAAGAACTGGAGGAAAAAATAACTCCACTCAGTGTCAGCAGAAACCGGCCATATCTATGAGGGACAGATTTTTGAAGGAGCAGTTGGAATTGATTTAAGCACTTGGAAGAAGGATAGAGCAAGGAATTGTTTCTGGATTTTTTTTTTTTTAGGAGAGAAATGGGTCCTTAAAGAAGTGAGAGGCCAGAGCTGGGGTTGCATCTTCACGTACTACAAGTGCTTAATCCTCGGGACTTTCCAAAGCCAAAAAACAGAAAGACAGCAAAACAAATAAATAAAAAAGCCACTATCTCCACCCTCAGAAGAACATGGAAATAACCTTATTTCAGCCATGATTTGTAAATGGGAAGTTTCTCAACAACCTAACTTCCCTTGGCTTTCCAGAGCCTTGATCTGTACTTGGATGGAAACTGTATTCAGCTTGTAATTTTTCTCTGTAAACATTGCCTAATTGAAATAACTCACTGGTACGGGGATGTTTCATTTGAACAAAGCCCTCTTAGACTTGGCCACTGAGGTTACAGAGCAGTGAGTTGTGTTGAAACTCCCCAGTAGAGTCAAAGGTCCTGTGACTTCCCAGAATCCACCTAGACTTTGGAAACAACCAGGAGAGTCTTTGAATGATTCACTCCAAAGCTCTGGCCCCATTGTTTATGCCTCAAGCTCCTCCAGAGAATGGGGAAGACTGAGGAACACTTTGACAAAAGGAGATTGGGTGCCTTAAGTTATGATCCACCAGAAAGGACCATGGGGGATTTAGGAAGGTCCGGACAGGGTCATAGATAGCTGGGCAGTGGTGGAGAAGAGCTGCTTACTGGTGGGTGCTGGGGATATTTGCAAAACCTCCCAAGAAGAACTCTCCTCCTTTCTCCTTCCTCCTTCCACCTCTTATCTCCCACTGGTTGTTAAACAATGTTTATTGATCTTCCATCACCTGGCAACCTAGTCAGCTCATCTCATTCCTCACTCTCACTCACCCAACCTGCTTCCTGCCAGCTCAAATGAAAAAGATCCGCTTCTGCTTCTCAGTGACTGTGTAATTCTGTTCCCTCTCTTTACTCTTTCTCTCTACCATTCTGGATGGCTAAGGAGTAGGCTTACCGAATTTGGAACAAAACAAACAAACAAGACACTTAATTACTTTTTGCATTTCAGGTAAGCAATGAATACTTTTTTTTTTTTTAGTACTATTGTGTCCCATGCGATATTTGGGACATACACAAAAAAACTATTTGATTTTTATCCGAACTTCAAACGTAACTGGGCATTCTGTATTTTATCTGACAACCAAACTAAGAAGACATGGTTATGTGATCTTTAGATGACAACGTGAAAGGACTACTGAGCTCATTCATCTCTAAACGCTGTCATCCAAACCTTTAAAAACTGTGCTTGGATAAATAAAAATACTTCATCCATTCAGATTTACCATTTCTCCCAGGTTTTGGCCAAATGCCCCTAATTCCTGTCTAGGGGACACCATCCTAATGGTGGGTGGAGGTTATGGAAGGAAGTGGACTCACTGAGTGGGAGGGGAGCAAAATGGGCAGATTAGAGCCGCTCACAGGGTAAGAAACCTCCGTCCCTCATGAAGATATTTTCTTGTTGAACTCCTCAGCTTTCCACCCACTTTGAATAATGACCAGAACTCACAGGGATATAGCACATGGCATGTGCTACTGTGCCCTGTATGCACAGTCACATTTCATCCTCACAGTAATCTACAAAATAGATACCAATCCCATTTCCATTTTACAAATGAGGCTCAGAGAAATGGAGCAATTTGCCCAGGGTCAGATCACTGGTAAGTAGTCCATACTGGATCCAAACCCAGGTCTGACCAACGGCAGAGCCCAAAAACCTCTAGGATGGCATGCTAAGAGGGCACTGGGCTAGGAGAAAGGGCTCACTGGGATCCCAGAGAGTAAAACAAGATAATCTGTAAAGCTTCTTTGGTACCTACTCCAAGACTTTACAGTCCTGGTAGCATTGCTTTGCTGGCAGACTATGAGAGCTGGGTGGTCCAGCCTCTGTACCTAGCACAGCACCAGTACCCTGGGGCAGCTTTTGAAACATGCTTAAGAAATGAAAGCAATGGATGTGTCACTTAGTACACAGACAGTCAGAGAAAGTGACTTTCTAACACCATGCAGAGAGTCAGGGAATGTGCCCAATGGCAGTGAGCTCCCTCCTTTTTCCCACATCCATGCTACCCTGTCCCCTGAAGGTCTCCTCTGCCCTTCTCCTTTTTCCTTAAGTGGTTCAGCTCTCAGTCCCAGCGACCCTCAAATTGTTCCCCAGAGAGAGCCTCTTGCTCCTCCTAGAGGACAACTGAATCATCAGTTTTCTGAGAAGGGAGTGCAGGAGAGCCCAGCCACTGCCAGGGAAGCAGAATCCTGGACCACCAGCTTGCGTACCTAAGACATTCATCCCGTCCTTGAACTCCAGGCCCTTCTTAATAACCATCTTAGTCTCCTCCGGCACCTCCGTCACAGTCTCGTTCAGCAGAGAGACAACAGCGCTGGTTGCATTGGCCTCCTCGTCTGGCGGTGGTGCAACCAGGACTTTCTTCGTCACTGTTTGGATCTAATAGCGTGAGGAAAAAAAAAGTATAAAGCTGAGGTTTGGCCTAGAAGTTAAAAAAAAAAACAAAAAAAAAAGCCTGGCTACTCATATATTTTAAGATATCCAATGTGTTAACAATAATTAAGAAATGCTAAAGCAAGGTCATGAAAACTGGAGAATATTTTATATATCTATATTTAGCAAAGTGGTGTTTCATTATACACAGTGAGACACAATTGTCCTAATCACAGATCATTACAGAATTTTTCATTTGTGCAAATTTATGGAGTCCGTGAGAAATTTTTTACATGTATACAATGTGTGATGATCAAATCAGAGCATTTAAGGAAGTCTATCATCTGAGTACAATACATTTTTTAAGTATGGTTATCCAACTCTGCTCTCGAACACTGAATGAATTCTTTCTATCTTTCTGCATGTTTACACCCTGTAAGTTACTTCTCTTCAGCCTTTTCCCTTCCCCTCACTAACCCTTCCTAGCCTCTGTTATCTAGTTTTCCCCTGTTTTTCCATGTGTTCAAATATTTTAGCTCCCACATAAAAATGAGAAATGTAATATTTGTCTTTTCATGCCTGGCTTATTTCACTAATGACCTCCAGTCCTATCCATATTGCTGCAAATGACACGATTTCATAAATATAGAATTTATGAAAATAATTTGCAAGTGTACTGTAAGTAGTGTGGTCAATAATAAGACACAAGCTTAAACTTGGGGGATAAATGTCTTCTTTCACTCCTTATCAAATTTATTTCCAGTATCAAATGTCTAACTTGGATGCTCTTCACAATTGTGAGACCCAGTTAGACGGTGCTCCCAGTTGTGATGGTCCTTCCAGTTGTGATGAGATTTGGGTCTGGTTCAGATTAGGAAGCCTTGGCAGGGGTCAGATGAGCAACTCACAATCCACCTGTTTTTCCTCCTACTTGGTCCCCATTGGACAGGGGCATCACAGGCCACCTCAGTTTGGGTTCCTTCTAGAGCCAGGCTCTGCTGGAAATCTCCATCTGGGCACCAAGAGTGCCAGCTGCCAGCAGCTACCATGGCAGGAGAATTTGCTCATATTTCAGATCCAAATTCAAGGTGGAAAGACAGCTGCTGCTTCTGGGCAGTGATGCCAAGCCTTGCTCAATGTTCCCCAAGCATCTCTGTCAGATGACTCACAAGGAACCTCTCCCGTTATTCCTCGACATCCATGGCAGTGGTCCTATTTTTAAAGGTGCCAGGCACCCTACATGCAGAGTGCTATAAAAATCCACATTTGAGCCCAAAAAACACCACCTCCAGGGGCATTAAAATAGAACTCAATGCAGAATCTTAGAATGTCAGTGCCGGCATGTAGTAGGTAACAGATGGCTGAACCCTGAATAGATAAGGAAGAAGATGTATGGGGAAGTCAAGTAACTTGGACATCATGGAGTTATGGGCAGAACTGGAACTTCAACTCAGATGGCCTCACCTCCACTGAGTTATTTCCACAGTTTGTGCTATATGTTAAGCTATAAGGAACGAATCCTAGTGTAGCTGGGCCCCAAAGAAAGCAATGCTGAACTGACCAGTTATCTGAAATAGAAGGCAAGGGAGGTCAGTGTTCTCTGAGGTAAGCCAGGGTGTTCTCTGTTCTAGCCTGGCCACATGCACTTGTGCAGGGAGAGAGGAAGCCTAGGGCCAGCTGTTTGAGGGGAGAACAGGCAGCCCACCGGTGCCTTCATCTGGGCAACACTGGTGTGAAGAGCGAATGCAGGAAGGATCAGAAGAGAAGCTTTCATGAAAAGCAGAGCCATAATCCCAGGAAAGAAAAGGGGACCAAAGCCGACTGTCAACTTACCCTAAGGATGCTAAAGAAGCCAAAGTTTGATTTAGAAAGAGAAATACTCATGCATCTAAATGAATGGTGGCTGTCAGGATCAGGCAGGAGGCCAGCTGCTACCTGGTTTACATCTGTTAATTCTTGTGTCAACAGTAGCCGCTCGACTCAACGGCAGCTTGCTAGTTAGTTGCTAAAATAGGACTCAAGATGAATTATGTTTGACTACAAAAATCCAGATTCCAAATAGCACAGGCCAATGGCGTAAGTTGAAGGCGAGGAGATAGGAACACTGAACACAGGCATAGTTCTCTGCCTGAGTTCCTGCTTCACAGAAACTGTTTGGTTGTACAACTCCATGTAAAGACTGTTTTCGACTGTTCTGTGCTGCTACCACAAAATACCCGAGATTGGATAACTTATGATCAACAGGAATTTGTTTTTTCACCATTCTGGAGACTGGGAAGTACACAATGAAGGAAGGTATCAGTATCTGGAAAGAGCCTTCTTGCTGTATCGTGATATGGAGGAAGGTAGAAAGGCAAAGAGAGGCACAAAGGAACCGAGTTCATCCTTCTATAGCAGCATTAATTCCATCCATGAGAGCAGAGACCTCATGGCCCAATCACCTCCCCAAAGGGCCCACTTATCAATATTGTTATAATGGCAACTAAATTTCAGCATGAATTTTGGAAGAGACAGACATCCAAAGCATAGCAGGTGCCAATTCCAGTCTCCCTGACCCCAAGCCACCATCATCTCTCTCACTAGAAAACCTGCAAAAGCCATAAACTGACCTATTCGCCTTTCTTCTTGTCTACATACAGTATATAGGTAAGTGTGGCTACCTATAACTGTTTATATCCTTAACTTCCCCTGGCCCACCAAGTCCTGCCTGAGCTGAGTTCATCTTCCTCCACTTACTATACGCCCACATTGGCCTCACACAGCCTCCTTTCTCTTCTCTGAACATGCTAAGTACTTTTTAGCCTCTGCACATCTGTGCCTCTGCTGAGAAGCCTCTTTCCCCAGCTCTTTGTAGGCTTAACTCATTCTGATCCCCTATCATCTCAGCTCAAACATCTCCACTAGTGACCACCCAGCCTATCATCCTGCCTTTAGCCTTCAGAGCACACCTGTTTTAATGTCTAAGTCTCTTCTGTGTTTCCCTGATGTTTGTTTTGGTCTACCTCCCTCCTGTTTAATGTAAGTGAGCTCCCTGGGGCAGGGTCCTCATCTGACTCCTCCCCTGCGGCATTCTTATGCAAAGCAGAGAACCTGGCAGCCCATCCTGCTCATAAGTATTGGCTGAGTGAACATACACAGATCACTGAATTTTCTGGAGGAAAAGAACCCATGTGGGTTCTTTATTGTTGACTTAATGTTGTCAGTCCATATCTTACAGCCAGTTATTCTCTTGGAAATCTCACTTTGGTTCAGAGTAAGCCCTAAATAGCAAGCAAGAGGTCTCCCCACTCACAAAGACACGGAGACCTCACTTGGGCAAACCGCGACAGCTCATTCTTCCTCTTTACATCTCTGTTTCTAACTCTGGTCAGGGAGTTCCCTCCACTCAAGAGAGGTTATTTTAAATCACTTCCAGCTGTACTCATGGACACAGGAGACACTTCCCGTGCACCGTTTCTCTCTGAAAACGCCATGTCCCTTTATAAGAGTTTCCTGTCCTCAAGTCCTTTTCAGTGCCTTCCTCCCAGGCTTAAGGAATCTGTACCCATCCTCTCCCTGAGGTAGATTCTACACTATTCTTCCTCAGATTGTCCCAAGCCCAGGGGACCTTGATCCTGAGCCTCCTGGGGGACCAAGGCTCAGTCCTCATATGAATTTCGGCAAAGGAAAGTTGGGGTCAGGGCCAGGGTGGGGCAGGGAATGGCCCAAGTCTCTATTCCAGAGTGGCAGACAGCATCCCTTGTCATGGGCAGGTGCATGCAAAGACTGCCCATTCATCACAGTGCTCACCGAGTATGAGCGTGGCCAACTCCGCAAAAGCTCACTCCAAGACCGGAGCAATAGCTCCAAGAGCCTGCCTGTTTCTTGGTTCAGAGCACAGAGCATGGCTGCGACCAGGCACAGAACTGAGTCCAAATCTGTCTTTCCTAACCCTTCCTGTGCTCCCCTTTCCCCAAGTCTACTACTAGCTCAGTCTCCTGCAGCTGCTATCCTAGAACGCTCTTTCCAAAATGTTAAGAATAGACAGCACTCAACTGTGTCTCTCACTCCAAAGCAAGTTGATTCATCTGTTTGAGCAGGTTGGTTGAAGGGCAAACATGCCATATAGATGGAGCCCAGTAAGCACCTTCTTCTCCAGCTTATTTCTGTTTATTTCTGCATCCAACTTCCCTGGCCTCTAGTGGTTTCCTTTAATATAGGTCCATGCTACATGTGCCACTAAAATGGCATCTGAAACCAGGGAACATATCCCAACCCAGTGTAATCTGGGCTCAGCAATGGTTGATGATTGCATTTGGAGACAACTAGGAATACATTCTTTTCTTCTAAGCTACCTATTTTCTAAGCTTATTCTTCTGTGCTTGGAAATGGCTGAAGGAGACTGCTGGGTTCTAGCTTAGTTCCTACCTGGGTTAATGGGAACTGGGGTGTCTGGGGTGTGTTCTAGCCTAAGCTGGCCTTGGGGCTAGAAAACAAGGTAGTAGATGGGGCCTGCTCAGCTAACTCAGTGGTTCTACTCAGCAGAATCACCTGTTTTTAAAAAATCACAAGTTTAAAAGAATGTATAGGCATGTATGCAGCAAGCAGGAGTATACATTGCTAAGAATCTGTACCCACTGCTACATTTTTTGTAGTGCCATCTTGCAACAGCCAACAGACTCAAAATATAAAACCCCTTGTCGGGGCATTTTAACTTCTTCTAGGAATTAATCTTTTAAAAATATTATGCAATCATCAAAAAAAGAAAGAGATGACTTTAAAATACTCAAGTGAAAAAGTGAGACGCAGGGTTGTATGAATAATGGAGTACCATTGGGTTGAATTTTTTTTTTTTTTTTTTTCAGATGGCATTTCACTCTGTCTTCCAGGCTGGAGTGTAGTGGCTCTGCTCACTGCAACCTCTGCCTCCTGGGCTCAAGCCCTCTTGGGCTCAACTTTGCTTCAGCCTCCCAAGTAGCTGGGATTAGAGGCTCCCACCACCACACCTGGCTAATTTTTGTATGTTTAGTAGAGATTGGGTTTCACCAGTTGGCCAGGCTGGTTTTGAACTCCTGACCTCAAATCATCTATCCACCTCGGTCTCCCAAAGTGCTGGGATTATGGGTGTGAGTCATCACACCCAACCTGGGTTAAATTGTTTTAAAGATTATGCACACTTGCATATGTGGCAAGAGAAAAATATAAGGGAGGAAACAAAATTTTCAACATAAGTAGTTCTAGAGAACAGGAAGAAGAAGCTTCTAACTTCTACTTTATGTGCTTCTAAACTCTAAATTTTTCAAAATCTGCATGTATTACTTCCACAATTTAAAAAATACCCAAGTTTCAAATTCATCTCTTGGAGATTCTGATTGTGCAGAATCTCCACAATATTTATATTTTTAAGAAATACAAATTCTGTATTTGCATTTCTTAAAAAGTGCCATTGGTGGTTTAGATTTACTGCCAAGTTTGACAACCACTGTGTACTCTAGAAGGTTGTGGGCAAGGCTGTTAAAAATATGCCCATGGATGACTCAAAGACACATTTCCCAGCCTCATGCACAAAAAGGAAAGGAAGAGATAGATATAAGGAGAAAGAAAAAAAAAAAAAAAAGGAATGACAATCCCAGATCAAAAAGATACTAAGCGAGTTGGAAAAAAGGGGAGATTTAAAAAAATTAAAACTGGGAGACTCCAATCCGAAGATGCTGCCCTAAACAACCTCATAGAATCCCTGGGCCTAGACAGAGATAATTACATATTAAGAAAATTTCTACCCAGAGTTGGTCTGTTAACATAGACTCTAAGTTATCGCCTTGATAGCTTAGAGGGCTGCAGAAGAGAGAACATCTGAACCTTGGGTTACCTGTTGAAAGCAGGCTTGGACAAGGTTTTCAGGGAAGAGATTGCGAATAAGGTCCAGGAAGGCATCCAGGCTGGACACTTCATCATTCTTCTTCCCAGGTCCCAGCTGCTTCTTGAGCTTGGGATTCCCTGGATGGATAGCCAAGACCAGAATGACCCCCAGCACTGCGGCGATGATGGTTGTGGACATATAATACACCATGGCTCTTGTGCCCAAGCGGCCACTAGCCTTAGCGTCCAGGCCTGACAACCCTGGATTGAAAAGAAATGCAGAAGGATTAATTCTATTACACTTGTGTTAATGACCCGTGTCTACATTTCTATGACGTCGACCCCATATTGCTCAAATGTGTTAATGGTCGATTAAATGTCCTACTGTAGTCTTCCCTCCATATCCATGAGGGGACAGGCTCTAGGACTCCCAACAGATACTAAAATCTGAGGGTGTTCAAGTCCCTTACGTAAAATGGTGTAATATTTGTATATAACCTATGTACATCCTCCTGTCCACTTTAACCACCTCTAGATTGTTTATAATACCTGATACAATGTAAATGCTATGTACACAGTTGTTATGCTATATTTTTAAACTTTTATTATTTTGTATTTTTTCAATTAGTTTTTTTTTTCTCAAATATTTTCAATCTGTAGATGAGGGACTCACAGATATGGAGGGCCAACTGTACTGAATATTTGGTCAGTCCCACAGCTTATCATTCTATTATCCAGGGAGATTTTCAAGATTTTACAGAACTGGGAGAGTTGGAGATCCTCTTGTTTAGAGTTTACAAATGGTTTGTGACAACTGTTTTTGACAGTCTGCAATAATGAGTTAAAATAAAGTTGAAGACATCCCATTTTTAATTTTGAGAGTATGTTCTTTCCACTTTTTTTTTTTTTGTCTTAACATCTCCTTTCTTTTATGAAGCAATGGTGCTGGTACATGCTAGTTTTTAACTCGTTAATTTATTTATGTTTTAATGTCTTCACTTGCAAAACTAAAAAACTGATAGCTCTGTTCCACTCTCAAAACGTCTTTTGAATATATTAGTGGTAACTGACATGGAGAGTCTGAGAATAAGGATTTCGCCTAGCCCTCTCGTTTCTACGAGGTGAACAGTGAAGATCCACATTTCCCAGCCTCAGGCAGGAATTAGAGAACACGCTGTGAAGCACTCTGCCCATGGTGGGCACTTCGTCTATACTTAGGGATGTTAGAGAAAACTCCAAGCAAGTCACAAAAACTCCAGCTCCCTTGGGTTTTTTTTTCCCGTTGTTTCTTCAACATCTCCACTTCCTGGTTTCAGTTCCTGCTTTTACCAGAAAGAGAGATTGAACCCCTTTCTGGTGGTCAGTCCTTTTTGCTATGGGGGAGGAAGTTAGTGATGTGAGCTGCTCTAAATTAAGCTGACCTATTTATGACCTACTTCTTTTTACAAACTAAAGTCTAATTCTAGCCAATGGGAGCTAGGTTTTCCTACCAAGTTGGCTAATGTATGACCCGTTAACAGGCATGGAGAACATTTTCTCTGTTTTAGGGAGGAGTATTCATGGTAAATGCATCCTTTCACTCAATCTAGCTCTGAATGATAAGATCCTGCTTAGCCCCTAAGTGCCTGATCCTGAGTCCCAGCATTTCGGCCACTGGAGTCACTGGTCAAAAAGCTGAGGCCAGTTGACCACTGACTAACAACCCAGCTTAGCCCCTGAATCTCCTGGAGTAACCAGAGCCTCACTCACTTCTTTCATGAGGTGACCAGTCCAGGGGGGCAACTTCTCCAGATCACTTAGCTGATTTGTACCCAAATATGGACCTCATCTTCCTGCCCTTAACTCAGAGCTGAGTCTCCAAAGGGCACCAATTTATACCGTTTGAGCAATATTATTTGGTAGGGAGCAAAGCACTAGTATAAGCCCATAGAGGAGAAACACATTCTTTCAAATAAAGTAATTAATTCTTTTAGTCAAAAATAAGTGAACATGATGTCACATATTAGAAGTACCTTTGTTTTGAAAGACTCAGAGGGCTTTCATACCTAGCATTTCCTTTTCTTTTAATGCCAACCTCCCTCTATTCCCAGTTAAATAGTAGACAGTTTCCTTTTCCATTTATTACTTTTATTAGTATCTGAACAAAATTTAGAAAAGTGAGAAAAGTAGACATTAAAAAATAAATCACTAGAGGTATCATCACTTGTAATGTATGGCTGTGTTTCCTTTTCATCTTTTTTTTTTTTTTCTTTGGTTGGAGAGAAAGACAAGTAGATTGACTAATTAATGGTGAGCTGCTTTTTTTTTTTTTTTTTTTTTTTTTTGAGATAGAGTTTCACTCTTATTGCCCAGGCTATAGTGCAATGGCACGTTCTAGGCTCACTGCAACCTCTGCCTCCCCGGTTCAAGTGATTCTCCTGCCTCAGCCTCCTGAGTAGCTGGGACTACAGGCATGTGCCACCACTCTTAGCTAATTTTTTATTTTTAGTAGAGATGGGGTTTCTCCATGTTGGTAAGGCTGGTCTCTTAACTCCCAACCTCAGCTGATCTACCCACCTCGGCCTCCCAAAGTGCTGGGATTACAGGTGTGTGCCACTGTGCCCAGCCTAGCTTTTATTTCTTTAGGGTTAATTATCCCCATTTCAGAGACAGGAAAACCAAAGCTCTGAAATGAAATGACATAGATGAGCACATTCACTCAACCAGATTCAGATTCTACAGTCAATCCAAAAGCCGGAGCTGGACTGTGAATCATGTTAGCCAGGCAGTAGTCAGGTGGTCTTACCTGTGATTAAGCTGGAGATAATTAGAGGGAGAATGAGCATTTTTAGCATCCTCATGAGTATATCCCCTGGGAAGGCTATTAGCATAACCACATCAGGGTGGATGGGAGATGCCAAGCGAAGAAGCCCTCCACATACTGCCCCCAGGATGACACCTAAAAGGAAGGGGAAAAGAATCTGAATTTATTCTTTGCCCTTGTCAAATGACTAGCAATTCTAGACACTTATTTCAGCAACATTGACCTTTCTCACGCTTTTGCAGTATTAGATGATGAACAACATGTGACAAAAACAACATTAGATAAGTGAAGCTGATTTTGATGACTAGTGAGAGAACTTTCCGTACCTCCAACTATTCTAAAAGTCAGCACCCAAAGAGTCAAGGAGAACATTCTCAAGGCTTTATGAAAGTGCACACTGGCAACTTGACTCCAACTTATTTGAGGCTATTTGTCTACTTGGAGCCAGAAATTGTCCATAGAAATAACCCACAAGGACAGTTATTGCTTCCTCGCCCAGCCCAAGCTTGGCCCCATGGGATGGCATTTAATATGTGTCTTCTCATTGTAACTGGAGGCCAGATAAAAAGAACATTTAATTGACCAAGCTAGTATGAATTCTATTTTTTTCTTCCTATTTTCTATGGCTTCCAATAATTTCCCCACAGCTCACCCTCAAGGCTTGTTCTTGACGTCTATGTCATTTTACATAGTTTTTAGATTGCTGCTCTTATGGGAGCTCAAGAATGGACTCTAAAATACGTAATATCGGAGGAAACAATTTAGGCGGAGATGCTGTCAGGGAACTTTTACTTTACAGACTCAAAGATCCCACAAGAAAAATTTTAGATCTCTGCAAATGGGTGGCCAACATGGATGAGCCTTGCAGAAACCACAAGTTGGATCATAGTACCACTGGCCATAAGGGAGGAAGGGAGTCCCAGGAATGTGGGCTAAGATGCTAATTCCGTGGATGTGGAGGGAGCAATGTGGCTGCAAGCCTGATTTTTTTTTTCTTCTGTAGGTGAAAATCATACTCTCCAGCTTCTTCAAGTCCTGTGATGAAGGAGATGTGGTTATATGGTGAGTAACCTTTGGAAAACCCAACTATGCTTGTGGTTTCTTATTAAGTAAACTTAGCTATAGAAAGCTCCCAGTACTGACCCTGAACTACTGGCAACCAAGACGACTGCCTCAAAGGAAAGGCCATGGAATGGGGGGGTGCAGGTAAGTGTGTGGGGGTGAGCGGGTGGGAAGGACAAGTTCTTCATTTCTTCTCTATGTAACCTAAGTGAGAGCTGAAGAACAAGGGAGGGATTGAGAAAGGAAATGATGTGGTTGTCATTACAAGAAACTGCAGCTCGCCCCATTTTCAATAAACCCTCATGGAAAACCTAAGACCAAGATTATATCAACAGCCTGAGAACAACCATCATCTGGGTGTTGCCTGAGGCAGAGGAGGGGGACTTGCAAGATGGAGCTGGAGCAGATCAAGGCATTGAAACAAACATCTTCCACACTGACCTCATTAGCTAATGTGCCCAAATTACCTAAATTAATGATGTGTCTGGAGAAGCTCAGACCTTAGGAACCATTTTAGTGGGGTTTTGTGCAATACCTGTGCTTATCTTGATGCAGGTGGTTCTCTAAATGTGGTCCATGGACCACTGCTTTGGAATCACCCAGAAGGTTTGCTAAGATGTAGACTGCAGGGCCTCATTTCATATGGTCCAAAGCAAAGTCTCCATGAGTATAGATATCTGCATGCCAACACTCTCACAAGATATTTATTTGCATAAAATTTGAGAACTACTAGAATCCAAAAGAGAATGAATGGCTAGAGGAGGTAAGGAGGAAAATTATATCACTGAAGCCTGGGCAGAAAGGGCCCTAGGCAAACCAGGTGGCTTCCTTTCTGGTGGAAGGGCTGGCCACTAAGACCAGCTGCCCCACAGAGCCTGGAGACACCCAGAGAAGAGGGGTCTTGGGGTGAGGTGGTGCAGGTACCTACCAAACACCGTCAGGGTGAGCAGGAGATTCTTCCCCAGCTTGTTGCACAGACGTAGGCCCAGGTGCCGGTGCTTGGGTTCCTCTGAGCCAAGGTGACTGTCGTGCATTCGCACTTCCACCTGCTTGGGCATATTGTTGGCACTGAAACAGAAGTGAAGGCAGAGATCAGAGAGACTGGCACCTCCCCTATACAGCTGCAGGGGCTTGACTAGTAGAAACCTCTCCAGGCACAGTTGGAAACTGGAACCATCTGCAGAAAAATAAAAGTAAGTGTGACTCAGGGTCACCTATAAGCAGGACAGCAGGACACACCGAAAACTGATGTGGATCCCCACGGTAAAGGAAAGGAATGCCACATGCAATGGTAGCGTCTTCCAAAGCGTTGTCCCCCATGATAACTTGGGGAGGGAAGTTACCATGTTACAGAGCCTTTACATGAGTCTTGACCAAGGTTGCAAAGGCTAAAAGAAATAGAGATCCAAATCCAGATAGGTCTGGCTCCGAAACCTGAGCTCTTTGTTCTTGTCACAAGAGCAAAAAGTTGACTTTTTCAGGAAAGTCATACTGAGTTACATCAAATTAAAATGTCTCTAAGCTCAAGTCTTCCCCATCCTGGACATGTAAAAATCACAAAGGCTGATCATCCAAGGTTTACTTCTTTTATGGAAAAGATAGTTTACCTAGTCAAAAAAAAAAATTCAATCTATTGTGGTTTTTAAAAGGTCACCTTCATTATCAGGACTGCTAAACTGGCCAAGAGATAATACCACTTAGAGTCCAAGAAGCATGGCTTTAAGAAGTAGTTCAATCACCTCCAGCAATGGATGCAGCCCAGCCCTTTTCTGGGTAAATCCCAGGTAAACCTAAGCCATCTTGGGAGTCTGCCCAAAGGAGCTCTTACCAGGGTAATGGGTGTACTTCTCCTTCCTCAGCTTTGCTATTTCCCAGGCCAAGAAGATTTCAGGTAGAAGCTTGGGGATTACCATAGTGAGGCCAATTTTTCACTTTGACATCTTAGAACATCTTTTTGGCTGCTATTTACAATCACCATCATTTGATAAAAGAAAAACAAAAACAAGCCTTTCATACCTAGAAAGAGAGGTGTCTCTGAACAGATGACAGTGTTTACAAGACAAGGAGGTATTGCCCTTATCCAGACATTCTTGTCACAGACTGGAGAAATCTTCCTTTGGAACTAACACCAAGCTGCAGACCAGTGTTTTGGAATAACTGGTTATAATGGGAATAGCATGGGTTTTGGAGTCAGAAGGCCTTGGCTTCAAATCCTGACTCTATCTCTTGCTAGCTGTGTGGGGTGTAGAAGGAAAAGCCTGATGCATACTTCATAAAAATTAAAATTATGCTAGCATGGTACCTTTCTCCAGTGTACACAAAGAAGAGATACATAACACCCATCAACTTCATGACAGGGATGACATTTAGTTTAGGGGCTTAACCCACTTGCCCTGCCATTCTAGAAAGACACCAAGAACTTAGCTTCCAGTCTCGGAGTTAAGACCTGGAACCCAGATATAATGACTTGCTTTTTTGTAACAGGCTGTTTAATATACTGGCTAACAAAATGTTTTATAATTAGGAATAATGTTGAATGATTAGATGAGAATGTTAGTCAAAATATAAGCTTCTTAGTCTCCCCTTAATGGCCTAATTTTCTACTCATCTAGTTAATTTCTGAGGCAACTTCTGATTTCCTGACATATGTGTGTACTAATGACCACTCAGACTGTCTGAAAAAGAAAGTAGGGTGTGACTGCTCACAGCAGGCGGGTGAGGGCCTTTCTGATCAGTGAGCAACAAATACCACTTCCTCCCGTCTCCATGTGAAACAGACAGAAAATTCATTTTACAACACAGCAGGGGAAAATGATCAAAATCATCTTTTTAACATGGATAGACCATATTTCTATGTTTGTGGTGGGATCCTCTTCCATTTTCAAACATTTCTCCAATCAGTCATCTGAAGCTCTAAACTAGGAAATGTTGACCAAAGAGTGGAGATAGTTTGTGTTCTGAAACGGTGAATGTATTTCTGTAGCCAGTTCTTGGCAGAACTCTCCAGTCCCCTTGAGATCATTAATCTCCTTGCCTTCTGCTTCATTTGAATCTCTACTGCCATTGAAATGACAAGCAGGCACATAGTTGGTATTCAAGTAAGACTAGGAAGTATTTAAAGTAAACATTCTGGCGGGATCCATATGATGTAATGGAAGTGTCAGGCATCAAAACAGCCATGTCGAAGTGAAAACACACAAACATTAGGTTAGCATACACACCCCACCCAGCAACGTGATTGGATGCCTGTGCCACACATTTCTTTGTTGTACAAAATTGCTTCCTCTTTAATGATTTGTAAGTGTCAGGCATCAAAACAGCCATGTCAAAGTGAAAACACACAAACATTAGGTTAGCATACACACCCAACCCAGCAACGTGACTGGATGCCTGTGCCACACATTACTTTGTTGTACAAAATTTCTTTCTCTTTAATGGTTTGTTTTTTAGGCTGTAACAAAGGTCCTGAAGCTCTGAATTAAAACAGCCACATCAAAGTTGCTGCATCAAAATGCTATAAATCCACAAATATTTATTGAGAGAATTCCTGTGAGTTTCCCTCTTTGAATTAAACAGATATGGAAGAATTGTAAAAGTTCTTGATGTTTGCACATGGAAAATATTAAAGGTAAATCAGGGACTCGGTTTGCAGCTGGAAACACAGAGAGTCCCCCTAGAACTCTTTGTAAAAATTCTAACTATTCTAATTAGTCTAACAAATCACTACATCTCCCAGAACACAAGGAGAGACTGACATGGGAACTATCACAGAATATAGAGTGACAGAATATTATATAATACAGAGCTGCTTCTAAGCCTATATATCTTTAGAATAAGATATAAGTTATAAAAAATGTGTTTACATACACAGATACATAAATGCTAATTGCAAACACACCTGGTAACAGTGACAATAAGAGGAATAACTTGTATTTATTGAGTGCACTCTGTGTAACAGACACTATACTCAGTAATGGCTATGGTACAATCCTTACTCTTAAAGAGCTTTGCTCAGAAAGGAAACACAAAGCACATTGTACTGTAATTGTCTGCTTTGTGTTACAGGCCATGAGCAAACTTGCAAAGGAGTCTATGGGAAATCGTAAGAACAGTGTCTAACCTAGGTTCAGGGAAGAGGAAGGGATGTTCAAGAAGGGGTCCCAGAAGGGGCTGAGACCTGAGTCAGATCTTGAAGGATGGATTTAATTTAAATGCTTACATTCTCCACCAGTCTATGAGCATTGGGAGGGCAAGACTGTGGTCTTTTAACACCTTGTACTGAGTGCTTAATCAATGTTTGCCAAGAGAAATTGAAAACTGAAAAGCAGCTTAAAAAGGGCTCCTTGCTTGCCCCTGGGAATAAGGCCCTTCTGCAGACAGACTGGCAGCATGCCATTTCAGCCAGATTCTGACCATTCTTGCATTTATTCCACAAATCTCTAGTGGGCCTATAGTACAGGCCCCATACTGTTGTAGATGTTAACAATATCGCAATAAACAAAACGAGCCTTTGATATCTTGGAGTGTGTACTTTAGTGAGAGAACAAATACACAGATAAATATATTTTAAGGGATGAAAAGTGCTCAGAAGGGGGTTTGTTCTCACTCTGCTAATAAAGAAACACCCAAGACTGTAATTTACAAAGGAAAGAGGTTTAATTGACTCACAGGCTTGGGAAGCCTCAGGAAACTTACAATCGGTGTGGAAGAGGAAGCAAACCTGTCCTTCTTCACATGGCGGTAGCAAGGAGAAGAAGTGCCAAGCAAAAGGGAGAAAAGCCCTTTATGAAACCATCAGCTCTCATGAGAACTTACTCACCATCACGAGAACAGCATGAGGGTAACTGTTCCCATGATCAAATTACATCCCACTGGGTCCCTCCCATGACGTGTGGGGATTACTGGAACTACAATTCAAGATGAGATGTGGGTGGAAACACAGCCAAACCATATCAAGGGTGAAGAAGAAGGAGAGTATGTGGGGAGGCAGTGTGATTTTCTATCAAGTGTCCAGGGAAGGTGTCTGTGATGAAGGGACATTTGAACAGAAATCTAGAAGAAATGAGGGATCTTCTCAAGTATTTTATGCAATTTATCTAGAGCTTAGCAAATAAATGGAAAATACACAATTTGGAAATTTGTCTTATTATCTAAATCCTAAAACTCCCACCCAGATGCACCCCCTGGAGTCCACATGTTGATTTTTACATGGATTCAAATGAATATGTAATAAGTAATGCTGGGCCCTATCACCATTGTGAATATGATGAAGGTTTAAATGACTATCCCAGCTCTCCCTAAGAAAAATGGTTACCAGGAAGAGGTGAGTTGGATACAGGTGGAAAGCCTACGGTCACGACAACCAGCGGGTTTGCTCTCATGGCAATGAATAGAAAGCGCTAAACCTGGTCTGCGAAGTCCCCTGGATAAACACAGTAGGTCATGTCCAGTGTGCACACCTACCCCCTTACTAATATTCCCTTCCTACATCCTGTGGCTCTGCACACAGAACAAAGCAATAAACCCCAGGTGGGGTTTGGGTCCACCAAATCCATCAAGGCTAATGCTCTCTGACACTGCCCACCATCTCTGTTTCTACTTGAGTGTCTCCTGAATGGAGGAATATTAGCAACGCAATGCCTTAACATTGGAAGTTTCAGTGTGTCTACTCAGGCAGATCTCTCATGTGGCCTCCACTGCCCAACAAAGTAAGGCCACGTGATGGGACAGCTGTTGGGATAATTAAAAACTTTTAACAACGAGCCTATAATTTCCTTCAGTCTTAGCCTCTCCATTGAATTATTTAAACAGCTGTTAATTTTGCAATCGCTGCCCAGTTCTTTCTCATGCAAATCCACGTGAGTCCTGCTTCAAGGCAAGCTCAGCTTATTGTGCAAATCATCCTCTGTGACTCAGAAGGGTACATGTAATGGGGCTAATGCTAAGTTTTAAACTATTCTCAGAACCTGCTTTTCATTAGCATTCGATTTCCTTTGCTTTGCCAAGAGCCTCTAATAATAGGCTCATTAGATGTGATGTTAGATTCAGATTTCCTGCTGCACACTTGA